ATATATATACACACACACACACACACACACACACACACATATATATATGCACATACACACCCTACGTTGGGCATCTTTTGGGTTTTTCTGATACAGTACTAAAACAACACTTTTAAAATGATGCCAGTGCCTAAACCGTACCAGAACCAATACTTTTTAAGAAAAGAAACATAAAACCAGGCCATGAATTTCATAATCTGAAGGGCATGGCCACTTGGCAAATGACATGACCTGTGTGCACGTAGATCATGTATACAGCCTGAGCAGTAACGTTGCAAACTAGACTAAAGTGCAGATCCTTGTAGAATGGTTAGAGAGAACTATGCAGAGATAGTGTAGTAAGTAAGCATCTTTATTATAATGTGGATAGTAAGTGGGGTTATCTCTGCATGGTTAGACTCAAAGGCAAACTACGCTCTTGTTGCTCTCTGCTCATGCTGCCTAAGATCGTGGGTTGGAAGAATCATGGATGTATTAAGGAGAAAATGTCTTTCTCTTAATTACACCAACTGGTGTGATGATTATATTGTTCTGGCATCGTGATGACAGCCAGCATCACGGTGAGACAGACACACCGTTATTCCTCTGTGCTGAGGGTGAGCAGTCCATGATTTCCATGGCAGCCCAGTTTTCAGCCATTCAGTGTTAGCTCGTGCTGCTAAACTGTATCTTCTATGTACTCATTCAAAATAAACTTTGTACTAGGTAACAGGGTTACATTCTCTCTATCTCTATGCCCAAAATTCACTGCTTGCCTGAAGTAAACACCACAAGCAAGTTAATATAGAGAGTGAAGAGTGGGAACTGCCTTTGCAAGGACAAAGCAGTGTAACTGTGTTGTGCTTTGGCACTGTCAACATTTTGACCATGCCCTGACCATTTCAGATATGTACCTGGCTATTCGACTAGGTCCAGCCAGGTAAAATGGCCAGTAAGACTTTGCCAGCTTCAGGACTCGTTGACTCATGATGCCTAGATGGTGGTGTGACTGCAAATTCTTGACTTAGGGTGCATGTCTGTAGAAAGGGCTGTAGACAGTTGGACAACGTGCACTCTCTAAAGGGGACAAGTGTAATTGTTCAGGGGGCAGACATCAGTGGAGAAGTTGCCCTGAACACTAGATGAGCGCTAGAAAGTAGGACATTTGTTCACAGAAAACACTTTGAGACTTTTGATCCAAACAGAGGTCTGAAACATTTCTCTGATTCAACGCGGCTGATAAACTAAAGAGCAGGTCAGACTGGAAGAGGCTAACGCTTTGAACTGTTATCATATGTGCATTCCTCTTTTTCAAGTTGTCCAATTTAACTCTGGGACTGTCAGAGCCAGCAACGTCTCTCACACAGTGGTGTTGCGCCCCCTGAAGGCTGGTTACTTTAATTTCACCTCTGCTTCGATCAGCTACCTGGCTCAGGATGGAGGACAAGTTGTGGTACAACCAGCTGATTATCTTCATGGATCAAAGAACTTGTTCTGTAGTAAAATGAAGGATGCTCAAGTGTTTGTTGGTCCTGCAGGTTGGCTACACCAGTGCCCCAGGCCAGGGAGGCATCTTGGCTCAGAGGGAGTTTGACCGGCGGTTCTCTCCACATTATGTAAGTGGGACATTCCAGAAATGTGTTTTGCTTGTTCAGCTGAGTGAACTCGCCTACAGTGATCTAAGCTGAAACACTGTTAAGAACTAGTGGAAATTTGTGCAAACGAAATCCTCAGCACTACTTATTCTTTAGCTGAGGAAACCCTGGAGAAAACTAATTCTGTTTTAATTGATTATAAAATTGAACTCTTTATATTTATTGAATGCCTAGCATGTAGAAATGGAAAGTATCCAAACAGCATTCAGAACTGTTGTGGTCTTGATTTTATTTATTCATTAAACCTTTATTTAATATCACCTTCTGTTGTATTTGTGATCTTAGTAAGGGACAATAAAAGCAAGTGTTAAATAAAATAAAACATTTGATCAATATTAGGCTAAATCATAACTTACTGGCAGCTGGTCGCCTGCTACTTACTGTAGTCAATGACTAATCAGCAGCCTGTGTTTGGCAGTGTGTGAAGATGATGTGGAACATAACATTACATGAACATGTTCACGTTTTGGGTGAGTCACTAAATGCCCGACGCTGTGGCCTGAGTTGTCACCCCTGTCAGGGTAAGACCCCTGGCTGTTGCTAGTAGGGCTGAATTAAATATTTGTTCTTTGGGCAGGTAGTCGTTTCAATTTAGTATTTGAAACCGCAAACAGTCTGATGAAGATGAGGAAAGAGAACACAATAGAGAAAGCTTGCATCTCTGAAAATGTCTGAGCAAACCACCAGTACAGGCCTGCGCACTACTCGGACTTAAATGTTTATTTTCCTCCCTGAAAAAATATCAAAACTTAGTTTAATATTCTTCACATACTGTGCAACATTAGAGCACTTCTCAATCTTTTCCTACTAAAAAACTATGTATCACACTTCAGCAAGCGATTAAGTACAATGTCTACACTTAGAACATTTATCACTCGTGTCCTTTTGAACAAAATGGTCCGTTTCTACTCAGTAGAGCTGTCTCACCGCTCACATCATGTGACAGCAGTTCATGCAGTTGTTAAAATATGTCAAACTCTTATGAATTCCACATACACACTCTTTGTATAATCCAAGTGCATTGTCTTTCAGTTTCATATGAATTTACTGCAGTAAAATGTGCATAAAACGTAGGGGTGGGAATCCATTCTGAAGCAACTATAGCCTGTATTAAGAAAAACTGCAATACTGAGCTTCAGGTCCTTTGTTTTTAAGGCATCTAGGAAGAAGACAGACTATGAAATCTCAGAGCCGGGTACACTTTTCATATAGCTCAAAAGGCGGTGCTCTTTATTACATTTTACACACTAACAACTATAAAAAAAAACTGCCTCTTGCAAGAAGTCTCCGTTCAGTGTACACTGACTGTGTGGTGGTAGGAGCTCCTCTTTGTCTTTATGAGCGGGGTGGAGCTTAGAGAATTTCCAGTCCCCGCTCACCGAGCTGTTTGCCACTCCCCTGCTCAAAGCCATGACAAGCTACTCCACTGTCATCTGTTTTGTGAGACTGAAGATGCTCCCAGTATAGAAACAAGTGTAACTCTCATGTAAGGTACATGCCAGATGTTACGTACTGCACGCACTGCACTTTTGGTGTAGACACGGCACAAGAATGAATAGTTTTGTAGTATTGCACTTTGCAGATGCTCCCTGTGCACTGTCCTCGTTCGTTGGCGTGGGTATGTCTGAACAAAGCCTCGAGTAACAACGTAAAGGTGCCCTATATCTGAATGATGGAACTCTCTAACAGATCGATGCAGCTCTAGCTGCTACCCGCTCAGTGTGGTAGCAGTGAATTGGTACACAGAGTTTATGATAAGTAATGATTTATGTTGAAATGGCACATCTAATGTACAAAAGGGACAAATAGCTTTTCTCCTGGACTGTACTTTGACATCTCACCAACTTTTCCATGTCTCCCTTTTCCAGCTGGACTGGGCTGCGTTTGGTGTGATGACTCTGCCCTCCATCGGCATCCCTCTTCTCCTCTGGTACTCCAGCAAGAGGAAGTACGACTCCCCAAAAGCCAAGAAGAACTGAAAAGCTGTGGGGTGGAGTTGAAAGCCAAAGGATTAAGTGGGCACCAGATCTCTGAAGAACTTAACCCATATTGGGGGTGAAAATTGGAAGCAAAGAACGGTAACTAAAAATGTGATTATATCAAACAAACAGTGTAATTAAGACAGCTTTGGATTAAGAAGTGGAACAACAGCAACAGTAAGGTGAAAGGCTTCACTAGTTTGGAAACCATGAGCTTGTACCTGGAAGTTCTCTACTGCCACTGTTGGCAGAGCGTCAAGATGCTGGTCATTCCTTCGTATTTGCAAATGGGTTCATTTGATAAAATGGTTACGGTGGCAGCTGCTACTCTGACAGGTTTTTGGAATTTTGTTATTGTGTAAGTCACAAACTAAATTCAGATTTGAAGTTTGCAAAATGAATGAATAAAAACAAGCTGTGTTTTTTTTTTGGCTGTGC